ATCATCACGCGTACAATAGACGCAGTGAAATTACTCACATGAATCTCGTTACATGCACAGCAAAAGTCTGGCATCTTCACGTGCCGAATTCTTGAAACTTTGCGCAGTATCGTTCGGGCGATAACGCAGAAAAAATCAAATAATCAATTCCTTTGTATATAAGAGCAAAGAAATAATTTGATGCTGGGACTCGCATTAAATGGCCTAGGATCCGCGTCCTCCCTCCCTCTTTGATAGCATCAATATTTCATTCGCTCGCTACTCATATTTGCCACTACTATACTGTATCTGAAAAATTAATAAAGTTTCGACATCGGGTTTCATCTTTTTAACTATGAGATATGTATCAGAAAATAAGAATAAAAACAATGTGCAAATACTGATATATCACAAATAGTGTTTTTTGAGAGGTTGATGACTACCAAGAGATAACTTGGATATCCACTGACTCATAACTTTATCGCCAAAGACTGGGCCAACATAAAGCTATGGCGTCTCCTAAGTATATGAAGGGAAGGCCTCACCGCCAAAGACTGGGCCGTCGCGAGGAACTTCAGCAAAGTCGGTGGATCAACTGTCGCCGCCGAAGACTGGGCCAACACGAACAGTTGTTAGTCTCAAGCAACATATAACTTCACCGCCAAAGACTGGGCCGACATGAAGCTATAGCGTCTCCTAGTAGCTGGAATACAAGGGAAGACTTTCACCGCCAATGACTAGGCTGACATGAAGACTTCAGCACAGTTGCACCCTCTTAGGCTCTTAGCGAGTATAAAGACACGGTGAATTTTTTTTATTTTTATACGACAGATATCTAGATTACTTTTATGTAAAGACTAACTACAGTAATACTAAAGCCTGCCCGTAGGCAAACTAACCCGTCTAACTTCTACAGGTAGGTATGATCTACCTATCTTGTATTCCCCCTAAAGACACGGTGAATAAATGTAACTGGTAGGTACAGTAGTAACATGAACACGTGATTACTAAGCCCTAGATCATAAGGGGCGCCAGAATTCTGGCTAAGATGACGTTATTATATAATTTCCTTATTTAGAGGTAATAAAATATCAAAATTACGTAATTTCAAAATCTAGGATTTTTAATCATTAATCTTTCTTCCTTACCCGCTTACTGTAATTTTTCTCAATCTTCCTTTCTTATCTCAACTAAGCAAGCCATGACTGTAACGTTAAGATCAAACAAGTATTTGAGCTATTTGGTGCCTGATAAAGAAAAAGACGTAAATAGTTATTTTAAGAATGTTGAAGCCCGAAATTGGCAGTTAAAGCATTATTTGAACTACGTCTTGAAAAATGAACGTGTAATTCCAACCTGGGTAACTGTATACGAGGAGTGGACAAGATCACTCGAAATTATCACAGATAATAAGTATAAAAATTCTTCGACTACTATATGTGGATTTTGCCACGAACTGCTAAATATTAGTAATACTTTTGAAGGCTCTTCTGTCCTAAAGAGTTGTGAGCAATGGTATAATAATTTCTATGAACGAAACTCCGACTTACAGTTTTCCGAAAGAAATAAGCAACTGGAAGAAAGTATATTGCACGTAGAAAGAGATATTTGTTCCGCTCAGAAAATGACAGAGCTTTTACAAAATAACCGGAAAAGTAGAGAAAATGCAGATGATACATCAATGCCACCCACAAATTCTCCCAGAACTGTACAACCGTCACAAGAGGATCAAGAGGACCAGGAGGTAGATGACGCAGAAATTGACAAAATCGTTGTAAATAAGGTAATACGACGAGAAGATCTTTGCTTATTTAAACCATATTTTTCACAACATCTGACATCTTGATTAAATATAGGTATCTGCCTTACTTTTCTCTAACCTAAATCTCGAAGAAATTTGGATAAAGGTTATGGAACGATTAAAAAAAGACAACTTGCGAGTGCAGTATGTTATTATAATTGCTTTTTCATAAATAATGTGTAGGCTTATTCGCTAAATATTTCCAGGTCAATTGAATCCCGAATTGTGGATCTCTCAGATTGGACTAAAGTCGAATGGAACAGGATCCTTAAGGCGTCAGACTATTCGCAATTGTTCATTAAATCAAGAAAAAAGCTTTCTAAAGACAAAATTAACAATGATGTGCGACAATTGCTACGTGATGGGCCTGGTCGAAAGTAAGTCATTCATTATAGTTTCTTACTTTTCACAATACACTCAATTATTATGGTATCCGTTTGTTAGCGATCATTAAATGATCTAATAACGTGGAAGAATAAGTTTATAAGCTTGGAAACCCCATCCGAAGATTCATTGCTAATTGTTGAAATAGTCAACTTTTTGTAAGTTTATTTTAAATACTTTAACATTAGATCTTCTTTGCAAATACTGACTGGTTTCTGTTTAGTCATTGTTGCTTACGAAGAGAAGTAAATGTCCTGATTTTGAAACATAGAGAACGTGACTTCATCGTTAAAGTTCTTAGTCCGATAATTGGCACGCTTCTAGAAGAAATCGATATCGGTATCTTTGAGCTTAACTGGTATGTAATGATGTCTTAGGACATATATTATTTATTATGAATTACGACGCTAACCTGGGGACTTTGAATAGGATCGAGAAAGAGTCTCGCAGTGTTACGAACCGAAAACGAAAGGCGGTGCACGAAGAATATATGGACCTCACTATTAGTATGAAAAAAATGGATTTGATAGTTACATTACGAAGTCATAAAAATGAGTTACTACCACTTGAAGTGGGAAACACAGAAGGACACATCGATGATACTAAATACAGGAAAGATCACTCAAAACTTAAAATAGTCATGAAAGATTGTTTAGACACCTTGTGGAGCAAATTGCACTTTAAAAAGGTGGAGCTTGAAAGTGTTTTCACCCTCGGAATTCAAATTACTGGTAGATAAAAGGATATTTTAAGTTATACATTCAATGTTTTGTTCTTTTACCAAAAATTTCTTTTATGCTACACAGATATAAGTTGGACGATCTACTCTCTTTCATATGATAGTTCACAAAATTTTTATTTTTTTGTTGAAATGGCGACATTGGTACTTCCCACAACGCTCTCAGACATAGAAGACCTTTTACCTAGTTTTTTGGGAAACCTTCTTGCATTACGAGTATGTACAGAATGACTGTGTGGCACTTTTTTTTTTTAAATCACTGATTGGATCGTTGTATTTTCTATAGCACACGTTACTTGACCAAGTTAAAAAGATACGAGAAATTGCTCAAAGAAGGCTAAGCACACCATCTCCACCATCGTCTCCATTACACAGTACAGCAAATTCACCACCTTCTGTGAAGAAACAAAAAAAAGACCCTTTTAAAATTTTAGATGATTTGTACTAAATAGCGGAATACTTGTTTCAGTCATTAACAATTGTAAAAAGTATAATTATTAATGCGTCTTAAGTAATGTTTCACAATATATTAGTGAATAAAGATTTTATTTTTCTAAAGGAACGCACGTGCACATATAAGGCTATTGGTCCTATTTTAGACAAATATTATTTATTCGGGCTTGTGAGGTTTCTGGCTGTGCATTTACAATGTACTTCTACAACTAATGTGTATTAAATCTAGGTATCACAGTTATAAATCAACCATTTTATTTTCTTGGCAAAAAACCGTTACCATTGGTAACGATCAAAATTTTTTTCTCCGACTTTGAGCATCATTCTGACAGAGAGATCCAAAAAGATGCATAAACTTTTTAGTAGCATAGGCAAAGAAAAAATAGTTCGGATTAGATCTATTCTCCCATCATACGTCTTAAATCTAACTAAGGATGAAATCAAATATGTAATGGCTGAAATCTTAACACATAAGGTTTGACGAGCTCGGACAAGCTCGGCCAGGTCCCTTTAGGACCCCATCATTTTTAAGAGAATATTGTCTTTTGAAGACTAGCTAAAACGATTTAATAAAGTTCTGCCCACAATTCGGGCTTATATTTTTATTTGCTTTGCGGATGTGTATGAGTATATGTAATATATGTAATAAATAATTTCGTAAAATATGTGAAGTACTGCGCTATAAATTTGGATGACCTGAGGTCATTGAAAATCACGTGACAAAAAAACCGTTACCATTGGTAACAATCAAGATTCATTCATTCTTCTGCACAGTTTTGACGAGCCCGGACAAGCTTGTCCAGACTCTACCATCAGAAAAATAATCTAGTCATATGCACAGTGCTTTCGGAGATAAATTTAACCTGAGCTCATATGTGTGTCCATCAGAAATATAGGTTTCAGGAGATAAATTTAACCGGATGCTGATCCAGCTTCTGACGAGCTCGGACAAGCTTGTCCAGACTGTATTTTGTTGCACGTGCATTTTATTCGCAATCATTTTCCCGAATTCCATTAGATAAGGCTATCCGGTTAAAGAAAAATTCCGAAATCTGATTGGCCGATCATCTCGTGATTTGAGTTGCGGGAAGGTTGCGAGGAAGTGCCGGGAACTGTCGAGGAGCCAGATGTACCTTAATGATGATCATGCACAGCGTCTTTGGCTAATTTAGCCGTCGGGTCTTATTTAACCGAATCATAACATCAGGCAAAATCACAAGGGATTTGCAAACCGACCCTATATAAACCCCGGTATGCTTGTAAGAATAAAAATGAATTTGGATTTAGTAGAGTATAATCCTGCTTAAATCAGCTATAAATCATTAAAATCGCTGTGTAAACTGCTATAAATTGTTAAATAGCTATATTCAACTGTATTAATATGACTAAATCTTCACTTTATGGTTTTGAGGATACTTATGAGGAGTATGTCGAATATATTGGTTTGCGTCACATTATGGATGGTGAAACTCTGTCTAAATGGAGAAATAGGATTTGGGATCGCCTAATGTATTTTCGAAATAAAAAATACTATACATATGGTGAGAAAGATTATTTCTGCGCTCGCAAAGCTTTGCCCGTTGATGGACAAAAATTATTCCAAAATTGTGGAATGGCTATCTGTTACTCGTGCAATAAAGTTGTATATCTTGGAATAGAACACTTGTCAGTTGGTGAAAGATCTGTTTATAACGGATTGGAGGGTAAGTTCATAACTGAGGAATTCAGAAATATTAGCTTTGATGAAGCGCATTTAGGTATGTATCAACATTGGGCCGGAGCTTGTACTGGAAATAAGTTTTGCAAACTGAATTTCGAAGAATATATGGAAATAAAACAGCTGATCCCATTTGACAAGTGGATGGCATTCCATCAATATGATTTGCAAATGAATCAATTTGGTAAATTCAGACGCAGAGATCCATATACTTTTATATCTTATAATAATTATATTAATGATAAATTCGGCATTCACGCTGATAATAAACTATAGTTATGCTTTATGGTTAGAAAATGTTAGCAGAAGAATTAGGCATATCAGAACACATTGCTTCTAGAAGAACGATCGATCAAATATCTTTCAACCGAATGTATCTTAATTATATTTAGCCAAACAAAGTTTATACTTTATTTTTTTGTGAAATGATAGCTATATAATCTGCATGCATGATCGCCTAGTATAATTATGAAATGTACCACCTGCGGGATAAAAATCGTTATGCATGGTCTGCCTATTCTGGGTTAGATTCTAACTATTTTAGTGAAGTATTTCAGGAAGATTAATGAAGCGATCTAGGGATTCTTAATTGCGAGACAATATAACTATCGGTTTGAGAATTTCTATGCAACAGTTATCTAGCAAGCTTATAGAAATTACAAGAAGAGACCCGAATCTTTGGCAAAACAGGTTTGGGAGGCTGTGAGGAATGATGGTACTCCTGGCAGATGGAAGTATTTAGGTATTATTCCTCGTGATGAGTATTATTATTATATTAATGGAGAACTAATAAAATTTAACCAGAAATTTGATTATTTTAACACGTTATATAATCATACCCTTTATTCTGCTAGAACTTGGACAGAAGAGAAACGAAATCAATTAGTATACCGATTACAATGGATAACTTTTGAACATGCTAGAATATTATTAGAACAAAAAGGTTACGTTCTTCTTTCTGGTAAAAATTGGATAGATTGGTCTACCATGTTAAAATAGGCACAGAATTCCAAATATTATCAAAATACTGAAGAAAATCTCATTAATAGATGGTTTGTCAGAAGGGATATGTTGGGACCATATGATGTAGAGATCCATACCGTGATGTCTAAAGACTGGTGGTATAAAGATAAAGTATAGTTAGAATGTCCTCGAAAAATTAACATAAGCACATTCAGTATATTTTTATAGGCGGTACTAGTCAATGTTGGGAAAAGATCGGTCAGACACAGTTTTCCCTGCCAGTCAGACGACTATAGCTTGCAAGACTTCGAGTATCTGAGTCAAAAAATCTCAACACTGGATACTAGCCCGTGAAATGCATTTTAAATCAAAAAATAGTTCTTCTTCTATA